TGTGGGGTGTCATGGTGTGGGGGACCAGTGTGGGGTGTCAGTGTGGGGTGTCATGGTGTGGGGGACCAGTGTGGGGGGTGTCAGTGTGGGGGACCAGTGTGGGGTGTCATGGTGTGGGGTGTCATGGTGTGGGGGGGGTGTCATGGTGTGGTGTGGGGGACCAGTGTGGGGGACCAGTGTGGGGGACCAGTGTGGGGTGTCATGGTGTGGGGGACCAGTGTGGGGGACCATGGTGGGGGACCAGTGTGGGGTGTCATGGTGTGGGGGACCAGTGTGGGGGACCAGTGTGGGGGACCAGTGTGGGGGACCATGTGTGGGGGGGTGTGGGGGACCAGTGTGGGGGACCAGTGTGGGGTGTCATGGTGTGTGTGGGGGACCAGTGTGGGGTGACCAGTGTGGGGGACCAGTGTGGGGGACCAGTGTGGGGGACCAGTGTGGGGTGTCATGGTGTGGGGGACCAGTGTGGGGGACCAGTGTGGGGGACCAGTGTGGGGGACCAGTGTGGGGTGTCATGGTGTGGGGGACCAGTGTGGGGGACCAGTGTGGGGTGTCATGGTGTGGGGGTGTGGTGTGGGGACCAGTGTGGGGTGACCAGTGGGGTGTCATGGTGTGGGGGACCAGTGTGGGGGACCATGGTGTGGGGGTGTGGGGTGTGGGGGACCAGTGTGGGGGACCAGTGTGGGGTGTCATGGTGTGGGGGACCAGTGTGGGGTGTCATGGTGTGGGGGACCAGTGTGGGGTGTCATGGTGTGGGGGACCAGTGTGGGGGACCATGGTGTGGGGGACCAGTGTGGGGGACCAGTGTGGGGTGTCATGGTGTGGGGGACCAGTGTGGGGTGTCATGGTGTGGGGGACCAGTGTGGGGTGTCATGGTGTGGGGGACCAGTGTGGGGTGTCATGGTGTGGGGGACCAGTGTGGGGGACCAGTGTGGGGGACCAGTGTGGGGTGTCATGGTGTGGGGGACCAGTGTGGGGGACCAGTGTGGGGGACCAGTGTGTGGGGGTCATGGGTGTGGGGGACCAGTGTGGGGGACCAGTGTGGGGGACCAGTGTGGGGGACCAGTGTGGGGTGACCAGTGTGGGGGACCAGTGTGGGGGACCAGTGGTGGGGGACCAGTGTGGGGGACCAGTGTGAGGGGGGGCCAGTGTGGGGTGTCATGGTGTGGGGGACCAGTGTGTGGGGGACCAGTGTGGGGGACCAGTGTGGGGGACCAGTGTGGGGTGTCATGGTGTGGGGGTGTGGGGGACCAGTGTGGGGGACCAGTGTGGGGTGTCATGGTGTGAGGGACCAGTGTGGGGGACCAGTGTGACCAGTGTGGGGGACCAGTGTGGGGGGGGTCATGGTGTGAGGGACCAGTGTGGTGTGAGGGACCAGTGTGGGGGACCAGTGTGGGGGACCATGGTGTGTGGGGACCAGTGTGTGTGGGGGGGACCAGTGTGGGGTGTCATGGTGTGAGGGACCAGTGTGGGGGACCAGTGTGGGGTGTCATGGTGTGGGGGACCAGTGTGGGGGACCAGTGTGGGGGACCAGTGTGGGGTGTCATGGTGTGGGGGACCAGTGTGGGGACCAGTGTGGGGTGTGGTGGGGGACCAGTGTGGGGGACCAGTGTGGGGGACCAGTGTGGGGTGACCATGGTGTGGGGGACCAGTGTGGGGGACCAGTGTGGGGTGTCATGGTGTGAGGGACCAGTGTGGGGGACCAGTGTGGGGTGTCATGGTGTGAGGGACCAGTGTGGGGGACCAGTGTGGGGTGTCATGGTGTGGGGGACCAGTGTGGGGTGTCATGGTGTGAGGGACCAGTGTGGGGGGACCAGTGTGGGGGACCAGTGTGGGGTGTCATGGTGTGAGGGACCAGTGTGGGGGACCAGTGTGGGGTGTCATGGTGTGAGGGACCAGTGTGGGGGACCAGTGTGGGGGACCAGTGTGGGGTGTCATGGTGTGAGGGACCAGTGTGGGGGACCAGTGTGGGGTGTCATGGTGTGGGGGACCAGTGTGGGGTGTCATGGTGTGGGGGACCAGTGTGGGGTGTCATGGTGTGGGGGACCAGTGTGGGGTGTCATGGTGTGGGGGGCCAGTGTGGGGGACCAGTGTGGGGTGTCATGGTGTGGGGGACCAGTGTGGGGTGTCATGGTGTGGGGGACCAGTGTGGGGTGTCATGGTGTGGGGTGTCATGGTGTGGGGTGTCATGGTGTGGGGGACCAGTGTGGGGGACCAGTGTGGGGGACCAGTGTGGGGTGTCATGGTGTGGGGGACCAGTGTGGGGGACCAGTGTGGGGGACCAGTGTGGGGGACCAGTGTGGGGTGTCATGGTGTGGGGGACCAGTGTGGGGGACCAGTGTGTCATGGGGACCAGTGTGGGGGACCAGTGTGGGGGACCATGGTGTGGGGGACCAGTGTGGGGGACCAGTGTGGGGTGTCATGGGGTGTGGGGGACCAGTCATGGTGTGGGGGACCAGTGTGGGGGGTGTCATGGTGTGGGGGACCAGTGTGGGGTGTCATGGTGTGGGGGACCAGTGTGGGGGACCAGTGTGGGGTGTCATGGTGTGGGGGACCAGTGTGGGGGACCAGTGTGGGGGGACCAGTGTGGGGTGTCATGGTGTGGGGGACCAGTGTGGGGTGTCATGGTGTGGGGGACCATGGTGTGGTGTGGGGGACCCATGGTGTGGGGGACCAGTGTGGGGGACCAGTGTGTGGGGTGGGGGACCACCAGTGTGGGGGACCAGTGTGGGGTGTCATGGTGTGGGGGACCAGTGTGGGGTGTCATGGTGTGGGGGACCAGTGTGGGGTGTCATGGTGTGGGGGACCAGTGTGGGGGACCAGTGTCATGGTGTGGGGGACCAGTGTGGGGTGTCAGTGTGGGGGACCAGTGTGGGGGACCAGTGTGGGGTGTCATGGTGTGGGGGACCAGTGTGGGGGACCAGTGTGGGGTGTCAGTGGTGTGGGGGACCAGTGTGGGGGACCAGTGTGGGGTGTCATGGTGTGGGGGACCAGTGTGGGGTGTCATGGTGTGGGGGACCAGTGTGGGGTGTCATGGTGTGGTGTGTGGGGGACCAGTGTGGGGGACCAGTGTGTGGGGGACCAGTGTGGGGGACCAGTGTGGGGGACCAGTGTGGGGGACCAGTGTGGGGTGTCATGGTGTGGGGGACCAGTGTGTGGGGGACCAGTGTGGGGGACCAGTGTGGGGTGTCATGGTGTGGGGGACCAGTGTGGGGTGTCATGGTGTGGGGGACCAGTGTGTGGGGTGTCATGGTGTGGGGGACCAGGTGTGGGGGACCAGTGTGGGGTGTCATGTGTGTGGGGGACCAGTGTGGGGTGTCAGTGTGTGGGGGACCAGTGTGGGGTGTCAGTGTGGGGTGACCAGTGTGGGGGGTGACCAGTGTGTCATGGTGTGGGGGACCAGTGTGGGGTGTCATGGTGTGGGGGACCAGTGTGGGGGGTGTCATGGTGTGGGGTGGGGACCAGTGTGGGGGACCAGTGTGGGGTGTCATGGTGGGGGGGACCAGTGTGGGGGACCAGTGTGGGGTGTCATGGTGTGGGGGACCAGTGTGGGGTGTCATGGTGTGGGGGACCAGTGTGGGGGGTGTGGGGTGTCATGGTGTGGGGGACCAGTGTGGGGGACCAGTGTGGGGGACCAGTGTGGGGTGTGTGGGGGACCAGTGTGGGGGACCAGTGTGGGGTGTCATGGTGTGGGGGACCAGTGTGGGGGACCAGTGTGGGGTGTCAGTGTGGTGTGGGGGACCAGTGTGGGGGACCAGTGTGGGGGGGGTGTGGGGGACCAGTGTGGGGGACCAGTGTGGGGGACCAGTGTGGGGTGTCCAGTGTGGGGGACCAGTGTGGGGTGGGTGTGGGGGACCAGTGTGGGGGACCAGTGTGGGGTGTCATGTGTGTGGGGGACCAGTGTGGGGTGTCAGTGTGGGGGACCAGTGTGGGGGACCAGTGTGGGGGACCAGTGTGGGGGACCAGTGGGGGGGGACCAGTGTGGGGGACCAGGGGACCAGTGTGGGGGACCAGTGTGGGGGACCAGTGTGGGGGTGTCATGGTGTGGGGGACCAGTGTGGGGTGTCATGGTGTGGGGGACCAGTGTGAGGGACCAGTGTGGGGTGTCATGGTGTGAGGGACCAGTGTGGGGTGTCATGGTGTGGGGGACCAGTGTGGGGTGTCATGGTGTGGGGGACCAGTGTGGGGGACCAGTGTGGGGTGTCATGGTGTGGGGGACCAGTGTGGGGGACCAGTGTGGGGTGTCATGGTGTGGGGGACCAGTGTGGGGTGTCATGGTGTGGGGGACCAGTGTGGGGTGTTTCCAAGTTCCTTAACATGGAAACTTAACAATCAAATTGACATTTATAAATGTAAACAAACCCGCCATGATTGTTAAAAGATGTACATGTTCCGTACTTGTTGATGGGTAGATGCTTGACCAATCCTGTCCCTGGCGCTTCCAGGTGTGTTCTGGAAGGTGTATTCACCTACACCTGCTGTATTCAGGTGTAAACAAAGGTGTATCCAGGTCTGTGTGTGTGTGTGGGAGGGGGGAAGGAAGAATGGAGTCGTATTACTATGAGGAAGAGCCGTGTGGAGGAGGGGTGTGGGGCCCTCCCCGGCCCCCCACTAACCCCCACCGTCACCTCTGTGCTTCACGCTCTGCTCTCTCTCTCTCTCTCTCTCTCCCCTTCCAAGGTGGTCCCGGAGCACCGCTGGATGCTTTGTTCCAACGGTGTCTTCTCCTTCTCCTTCTCCTTCTCTCTCTCTCTCTCTCTCTCTCTCTCTCTCTCTCTCTCTCTCTCTCTCTCTCTCTCTCTCTCTCTCTCTCTCTCTCTCTCTCTCTCTCTCTCTCTCTACATTCCTTATCCTACCGGGAATGATACTACAGACGGAATGATACTGCTGACATTCCCACCAGCACTCCAGGTGTGTGGGGGTTTGTGTGGTGTTACTGCAGGTGTGTGACCGGTTGTGTCGTGCAACACTCACGCGGGTGTTGCGATTTTACACGATATGACCTGAGCGAGGCGCAGTAGAACTGACACTGTTGCTGGCGGGTGTTGAGGGCGGGTGTTGAGGGCGGGTGTTGAGGGCGGGTGATGCGGGCGGGTGATGCGGGCGGGTGTTGAGGGCGGGTGTTGAGGGCGGGTGATGAGGGCGGGTGATGAGGGCGGGTGATGAGGGCGGGTGATGAGGGCGGGTGTTGAGGGCGGGTGATGAGGGCGGGTGTTGAGGGCGGGTGTTGAGGGCGGGTGTTGCAGGCGGGTGTTGAGGGCGGGTGTTGCAGGCGGGTGATGAGGGCGGGTGATGAGGGCGGGTGATGAGGGCGGGTGTTGCGGGCGGGTGATGCGGGTGTTGAGGGCGGGTGATGCGGGCGGGTGTTGAGGGCGGGTGATGCGGGTGTTGAGGGCGGGTGTTGAGGGCGGGTGATGCGGGCGGGTGTTGAGGGTGGGTGTTGCAGGCGGGTGTTGAGGGCGGGTGTTGAGGGCGGGTGATGCGGGCGGGTGTTGAGGGCGGGTGTTGAGGGCGGGTGATGCGGGCGGGTGTTGCGGGCGGGTGTTGAGGGCGGGTGTTGAGGGCGGGTGTTGCAGGCGGGTGTTGCAGGCGGGTGTTGAGGGCGGGTGTTGAGGGCGGGTGTTGAGGGCGGGTGTTGCAGGCGGGTGTTGCAGGCGGGTGTTGCAGGCGGGTGTTGAGGGCGGGTGTTGGAGCTACAATATGTGGGTCAGCCGCCCCATGACCTCGTATCACCACCACGGCCGCCAGATCTCTCTCACACCCATCCTCTCCCACACTCCCGTCAACACCTGCACCAACACCTGCACCCATCCTCTCCCACACTCCCGTCAACACCTGCACCAACACCTGCACCAACACCTGCACCCATCCTCTCCCACACTCCCGTCAACACCTGCACCCATCCTCTCCCACACTCCCGTCAACACCTGCACCAACACCTGCACCCATCCTCTCCCACACTCCCGTCAACACCTGCACCAACACCTGCACCCATCCTCTCCCACACTCGCGTCAACACCTGCACCCCAACAACTGCCTTTTCCAGCGTCACGCGTTTCTGACTTTCTCGTAACTGGGGTCACTATCACTGCTGGACCTGGGGTCACTATCACTGCTGGACCTGGGGTCACTATCACTGGACCTGGGGTCACTGCTGAACCTGGGGTCACTATCACTGCTGGACCTGGGGTCACTGCTGGACCTGGGGTCACTATCACTGCTGGACCTGGGGTCACTATCACTGCTGGACCTGGGGTCACTATCACTGCTGGACCTGGGGTCACTATCACTGCTGGACCTGGGGTCACTATCACTGCTGGACCTGGGGTCACTGCTGGACCTGGGGTCACTATCACTGCTGGACCTGGGGTCACTATCACTGGACCTGGGGTCACTATCACTGCTGGACCTGGGGTCACTATCACTGCTGGACCTGGGGTCACTATCACTGCTGGACCTGGGGTCACTGCTGGACCTGGGGTCACTGTCACTGCTGGACCTGGGGTCACTATCACTGCTGGACCTGGGGTCACTATCACTGCTGGACCTGGGGTCACTATCACTGCTGGACCTGGGGTCACTATCACTGCTGGACCTGGGGTCACTATCACTGCTGGACCTGGGGTCACTATCACTGCTGGACCTGGGGTCACTATTACTGGACCTGGGGTCACTGCTGGACCTGGGGTCACTATCACTGCTGGACCTGGGGTCACTATCACTGCTGGACCTGGGGTCACTATCACTGGACCTGGGGTCACTGCTGGACCTGGGGTCACTATCACTGCTGGACCTGGGGTCACTGCTGGACCTGGGGTCACTATCACTGCTGGACCTGGGGTCACTATCACTGCTGGACCTGGGGTCACTGCTGGACCTGGGGTCACTGCTGGACCTGGGGTCACTGCTGGACCTGGGGTCACTATCACTGCTGGACCTGGGGTCACTATCACTGCTGGACCTGGGGTCACTGCTGGACCTGGGGTCACTATCACTGCTGGACCTGGGGTCACTATCACTGGACCTGGGGTCACTGCTGGACCTGGGTTCACTATCACTGCTGGACCTGGGGTCACTATCACTGCTGGACCTGGGGTCACTATCACTGCTGGACTTGGGGTCACTATCACTGCTGGACCTGGGGTCACTATCACTGCTGAACCTGGGGTCACTGCTGGACCTGGGGTCACTGCTGGACCTGGGGTCACTGCTGGATCTGGGGTCACTGCTGGACCTGGGGTCACTGTTACTGCTGGACCTGGGGTCACTGTCACTGCTGGACCTGGGGGTCACTGTCACTGCTGGACCTGAGGTCACTGTCACTGCTGGACCTGAGGTCACTGTCACTGCTGGACCTGGGGTCACTGTCACTGCTGGACCTGGAGTCACTGTCACTGCTGGACCTGGGGGTCACTGTCACTGCTGGACCTGGGGTCACTGTCACTGCTGGAACTGGGGTCACTGTCACTGCTGGAACTGGGGTCACTGTCACTGCTGGAACTGGGGTCACTGCTGGACCTGGGGTCACTGTCACTGCTGGACCTGGGGGTCACTCACTGCTGGACCTGGGGGTCACTCACTGCTGGACCTGGGAGTCACCGTCACTGATGGACCTGGGGCCACTGTCACTGCTGGACCTGGGGTCACTGTCACTGCTGGACCTGGGGTCACTGTCACTGCTGGACCTGGGGGGCCACTGTCACTGCTCGACCTGGGGTCACTGTCACTGCTGGACCTGGGGGTCACTGTTACTGCTGGACCTGGGGGTCACTGTCACTGCTGGACCTGGGGGTCACTGTCACTGCTGGACCTGGGGTCACTGTCACTGCTGGACCTGGGGTCACTGTCACTGCTGGACCTGGGGGTCACTGCTGGACCTGGGGTCACTCACTGCTGGACCTGGGGGTCACTGTCACTGCTGGACCTGGGGTCACTGTTACTGCTGGACCTGGGGGGTCACTGTCACTGCTGGACCTGGGGTCACTGCTGGACCTGGGGTCACTCACTGCTGGACCTGTGCCACTGTCACTGCTGGACCTGGGGTCACTGTCACTGCTGGACCTGGGGTCACTGTCACTGCTGGACCTGGGGGGTCACTGTCACTGCTGGACCTGGGGTCACTGTCACTGCTGGACCTGGGGTCACTGTCACTGCTGGACCTGGGGGGTCACTGTCACTGCTGGACCTGGGGTCACTGTTACTGCTGGACCTGGGGGGGTCACTGTCACTACTGGACCTGGGGGGTCACTGTCACTGCTGGACCTGGGGTCACTGTCACTGCTGGACCTGGGGTCACTGTCACTGCTGGACCTGGGTCGTGGCACTTGACCACGCCCACACACCTGGCACTTGAGCCCACACACCTGGCACTTGATCACGCCCACACACCTGGTACACGTGTAGTGGGCGCGGGGGTAACCAGCGGATGGGACTCATGAGGTAAAAAGTAGTGGGATCCAGCGGCGCAGTGGGCTACATCCGCGCCCCGGGCTACGTCAAGAGTACCAAGGACCGTGGTAACGGCCCCCGCCATCTCTGTCTCCCCCCGCTAGTAGCAACGGTGCTGCGTTAGTGCTGGGGTCCCTAGCGTCAGTGCTGGGGGTCCCCTAGCGTCAGTGCTGGGGGTCCCCTAGCGTCAGTGCTGGGGTCCCTAGCGTCAGTGCTGGGGGACCCTAGCGTCAGTGCTGGGGGACCCTAGCGTCAGTGCTGGGGGACCCTAGCGTCAGTGCTGGGGGACCCTAGCGTCAGTGCTGGGGGACCCTAGCGTCAGTGCTGGGGGACCCTAGCGTCAGTGCTGGGGGACCCTAGCGTCAGTGCTGGGGTCCCTAGCGTCAGTGCTGGGGGTCCCTAGCGTCAGTGCTGGGGGTCCCTAGCGTCAGTGCTGGGGGTCGCTAGCGTCAGTGCTGGGGGTCCCTAGCGTCAGTGCTGGGGGTCCCTAGCGTCAGTGCTGGGGTTCCCTAGCGTCAGTGCTGGGGGTCCCTAGCGTCAGTGCTGGGGGTCCCTAGCGTCAGTGCTGGGGGTCCCTAGCGTCAGTGCTGGGGGTCCCTAGCGTCAGTGCTGGGGGTCCCTAGCGTCAGTGCTGGGGGTCCCTAGCGTCAGTGCTGGGGTCCCTAGCGTCAGTGCTGGGGGTCCCTAGCGTCAGTGCTGGGGGTCCCTAGCGTCAGTGCTGGGGGTCCCTAGCGTCAGTGCTGGGGGTCCCTAGCGTCAGTGCTGGGGGTCCCTAGCGTCAGTGCTGGGGGTCCCTAGCGTCAGTGCTGGGGGTCCCTAGCGTCAGTGCTGGGGGTCCCTAGCGTCAGTGCTGGGGGTCCCTAGCGTCAGTGCTGGGGGTCCCTAGCGTCAGTGCTGGGGTCCCTAGCGTCAGTGCTGGGGGTCCATAGCGTCAGTGCTAGGGACCCCAGCAGACAATATCACCATAACCATTGCTCCAGCGCCCCAGTCGTGTACCTGCGGCTGGCGGGGTGGTCGACGACCTTCTTGCAGATTCGCCGTTCGGTCCCCGTTAAACTGTGTGGGTGATGGCCGTTAATTTGAGCCGTCGTCATCACCCATCCAAGTGCTGTACAGAGTGGCTTAGCACTTTCTGCTCGTAATTAGGTAACCCTGTTTACGCAGGTCAGGACCTGGGGCCAGATTCACGAAGCAGTTACGCAAGCACTTTCGAACTGTACAACTTTTCTCAATCTTTGGCGGCTTTGTTTACAATTATTAAACAGTTAATGAGCTCCGAAGCACCCGGAGGCTGTTTATAACAATAACAACAGTTGTTTGGGAAGTTTTCATGCTTGTAAACTGTTTAATAAATGTAACCAAAGCCGTCAAAGATTGAGGAAAGATGTAAACGTTCGTAAGTGCTTGCGTAGCTTCGTGAATCTGACCCCTGAGCGGTAAGTGGCAGGTGGCCTGTAGGTCGTGGAAGAAGAGGTCCTCAGCTGTGTTCGTCTAGTTATAATGCCTCCCATTAGGTGACACTGGGTATGTTGACTATATTTCTCTTCGTGTTGGTTTGTATGGGGGTTTGTGATCGACTGAAGACGGCTACAATAGATGGCGTATCCCGGGATGGTTGTAGTTCTCATTAAACATTACCTGAGTCTATCCTGCTCTTGTGGACTTTCCCGAACCTTTCAAGACCTTGACAGGTGAAGGTCCAAGTGCCACTGGCTTCCTCCACACAAGACCTGCCTGGATATACCTGGAGTGTGTTCTGGGAGTTGTTCTATTCCCCGAGCCCGGCCCGAAGCCAGGTTTGACTTGTGAGACCTTGGTCCATCAGGGTGCTGCTTGGAGCGGCCCGCAGGCCCACATATCCACTACAGCCTGGTTGATCCGGCACTTCTTGCAAGAACCTGTCCAAATATCTCTTCAACATTTCCACCTTCGTTCCGGCAATATTTCTAATGCTTGCTGGGAGAGTGTTGAACAGCTGTGGACCTCTGATGTTCAGTGTTCTCTGATTTCGTCCATCGCACCTTTACCCCGCAATAGTTCTGTTCTGCATTGTCTTCCGTATCTTTCGTTCCAGTATGTTGTTATTCTACTATGCAAATTTGGGACCTGGCCTTCAAGTATCTTCTATGTATATATTATTTGATACCTCTCTCGTCTCGTTTCCAGAGAGTACGTTTTGAGAGCTTTGAAACGGTCTAAACAATTTAGATGTTTTATCGTGACAATACGTGTCGTACATGTTCTCTGTATTCCCTCTAATTCAAAGATCTCTCCTGCCTTGAAAGGGGAAGTGAGTATCTAGCAATTCTCAAGACGGGACAGCACCTGTAATTTAAATAGTGTTAGCATTGCTGTGGGGTCTCTGGATGTGAACGTTCTCATAATCCATCCTGTCATGTTCCTGGCCGCCGCTATATTTGCTCGGTTATGTTCACTAAATGTCAGGTCGTCAGACATCATAATTCCCAGATCTTTTACATGTTGCTTTCCTTCTATGAGTAGGTCTGGTTGTGTCCTGTACTCTGTGTTTCATTTAAGTTCCTCGTTTACACCACACCTCAGTACCTGGAACCTATCACCATTAAACATCATGTTTTTTTCAGTTGCCAAATCGAGTACTTTATATATATCTGCCTGTAATGTTTCAGTGTCTTCTACAGTGGCAATATTCATGCTGATTTTAGTTTACTAGTCACACGAAGCTGTGACTAGTATTTTGGTCTATATCAGAGATAAGAAGGAGAAATAGCAGCGGTGCAAGGACTGTGCCCTGGGGTACAGAGCTTTTCACCGCAGTTTGGCTTGATCTTACTTGATTGACCGTCACTCTGCATTCTGGTTGACAAAGTCGAAAATCCAACGCCCCACTTTACCCGTTATTCCTTTCCGTTACTGTTACCCGTTATTGATCTCATTTTGTGTGTGCTATCACTCCATGGTCACATTTGTCGAATGTCATTGCAAAATCTGTGTATACGGCTTCTGTATTTTGCTTTTCCTCTAAGGCTTCTGTGATTCTATCATAGTGGTTGAGTACTGTGACAGACAGGATCTTCCCGCTCTAAACCCATGTTGTCTTGAGTTGTGTAGCTCATTATTTTCCATAAAACTGAAAATTTGATTCCAAACCACTCTTTCAAAAACTTTTATTTTGTGTGATAGTATGGTCTATAATTCTTTACCAAAGCTTTACTACCCCCCTTGTGCAGAGAAGCTATATCTGCAGATTTACGTGCTGCTGGTGTCTCCCTTGTACCCAGGCGCCGGTCGGCCGAGCGGACAACACGCTGGACTTGTGATCCTGTGGTCCCGGGTTCGATCCCAGGCGCCGGCGAGAAACAACGGGCAGAGTTTCTTTCACCCTATGCCCCTGTTACCTAGCAGTAAAATAGGTACCTGGGTGTTAGTCAGGTGTCACGGGCTGCTTCCTGGGGGTGGAGGCCTGGTCGAGGACCGGGCCGCGGGGACACTAAAGCCCCGAAATCATCTCAAGATAACCTTCAGAAGGCTCTTTCTCCATATTACGCTGAGCGCTCGCGCTACTGGTACTTTACATTTCTTTATGAATATTGAGCTCCACTAGTCAGGCCCAACAGCCTCTGTCACATCCAGCTCCAGCAGACACCTTTTGACCTCATCACTGGTGAGGTCAAATTCCTCCAAGGTTGCATGGTTTGCCTCCTCCTCATTTAGTGCAGGGGCTTCTCCTTGTTCTATTGTGAAGACCTCCTGGAATCTCTTGTTAAGTTCTTCACACACCTCCTTGTCATTCTCTGTGTATCTGTTCTCCCCTTTCCGCAGCTTGTTCCTTCACTGCTGTTTTCCTCCTGATGTGACTGTGGAGCAGCTTTGGTTGGGTCTTGGCTTTACTCGCGATGTCATTTTCAAACTGTCTCTCTGCTTCCCTCCTCACTCTGATGTACTCATTTCTGGCCCTCTGGTATCTCTCCCTGCTCTCTGGTGTTCTGTTATTTCTGTAGTTTCTCCATGTTCTTTTACTCAGTTGCTTCGCTACCTTACATTCCTGGTTGAACCATGGGTTTTTCTGTTGTTTTTCGTTTTTCTCCTTTTGGACGGGGATAAACCTGTCTGCAGCTTCCTGGCACTTTTGGGTGACAAAATCCATCATGACCTGCACATTCTTGTCTCTAAGTTCTGTTTCCCATGATATTCCCCTGAGGAATACCATGGGTGTGTGTGGTGAGTAGCACACACCTGCCCCGTCAGTGTGTGTGTGTGTGTGTGTGTGTGTGTGTGTGTGTGTGTGTGTGTGTGTGTGTGTGTGTGTGTGTGTGTGTGTCGGAGTACAGGTGTGGAAACGCTCATTGGGTCAAGATGGCCGCCACCGCTGGTCAAGAGACCTATTATTACCCACGGAACACTCGCCTGGAGAGGCGGGCTTCCCTATGTCCTCATCGACTGGGAACCCCTCGCCGCCTTCACTCTCCAGGTCACTCGGTGAACGTGCACGAGGTGCAGAGGGCACGGCAAGGTGAGGACCCCAGAGGGCACGGCAAGGTGAGGACCCCAGAGGGCACGGCAGGGTGAGGACCCCAGAGGGCACGGCAAGGTGATGACCCCAGAGGGCACGGCAAGGTGAGGACCCCAGAGGGCACGGCAAGGTGAGGACCCCAGAGGGCACGGCAAGGTGAGGACCCCAGAGGGCACGGCAGGGTGAGGACCCCAGAGGGCACGGCAGGGTGAGGACCCCAGAGGGCACGGCAGGGTGAGGACCCCAGAGGGCACGGCAAGGTGAGGACCCCAGAGGGCACGGCAAGGTGAGGACCCCAGAGGGCACGGCAAGGTGAGGACCCCAGAGGGCACGGCAAGGTGAGGACCCCAGAGGGCACGGCAAGGTGAGGACCCCAGAGGGCACGGCAAGGTGAGGGGCCCCAGAGGGCACGGCAAGGTGAGGACCCCAGAGGGCACGGCAAGGTGAGGACCCAGACGTCAACAAGCACCTGGGCAGACATTACAGGCCGGGGAAGGCAGACATTACAGGCCGGGGAAGGCAGCAGTGGAAGGCAGACATTACAGGCCAGGGAAGGCAGACATTACAGGCCGGGGAAGGCAGACATTACAGGC